ACGAATATGAAAATCTGACCTTAATTTAGAAATTACCGGCAATACAAAATCCGGCCACCTAATTGTTAACCTTAGCCTACTATTTATTAAAAATGTATGTACCGTTTCATGCGAAACAACGCCCAGAGGCGTTATTCCGGGAAATATAGCTTGAAGAAAGTTAATAAATAACAAAAATTATACGTGTAATTCGCATTCGGCTAAATCAACTATTAACTCTCCAAACTACCGTAAACTGTCGTATAAAGACCGGGTCTAGTACATGGTAGAGAGTTTGTACCATTAAAAGGAAAATTTTAAAAAGCATGCATATTTTTTATTTATAATGAGCAGCCTAGATATTAAAAATAACTGTATACGGCAGTTTACGGTATATGCCCAGAAATAATGCCCTTGGGCGTTATTTCGCGATGATACGGTATTTTCAATCCTCTTGATTAAAACTTCATGTAAGTTACATAATTTGAGAAGATATAGTCAATCGGTTTGTTTGTGAAAGAGTATCTTTAATAGACCGATTAATCGATTAGAATTGATTAAAATAAAACTGATTCATCGGCTTAAAAATTTTTCAATAAAACCGACTCATCAGTTTAAAAAATTTTCAACCCGGTTATACTATAATCGGTTTCAATCTCTAGTACTGCATTTAATTTGAAAGTATGTAAATAAAGTTGTAATAAATCTTTGATCTAGATTTCTTTGTAGTTTTGTAATTGCAAAAAATAACAATAAATACTGTAGTTCTACACATGATTAAGTTGATTTTTACATAAGCAAATTTTTTTTGGTCAAGACATAATCTTAGGCATGAACTATGAGACATGTCTAAAACCTCTGTGCCCTGCTCCTCGTTATGTATGACCTTATTTAGTCCCATGATTTAACTCAAAGGATTTCTAATTATAAATTCTATCCTACAGACCTGACCAAGGCGTGAAACCTAATTATATAATAAGTCTTTTGTATACCGTATATTACTGAATAAAAGCAACCTTCATGATTTTGAAATCAAAAATTTGGAGGTTATTTCGTTATGTTTTTAATAATAAAATTAGATTAGAATAGTAACTTCTTTACATCTATATTCGCCAGCTCCCAGAAACAATTTTATACGTAGGGAAAAAAATCAAAAATAATCTTGATATATATTGTAAATATATTATAATTATAAAGATACATAAAATTTGGTTTAATAAAGACTAATAATAAAATTTTTGAAATACAGTATTAATTTGGCCAGAATTTGGGCATGGACAAACAAATTATAATATATAGTCGGAATTTGGATAACAAGTATATTCATTTCAATCCGAAAAATTGCTTTTATTGGGTAAAAATATGATATATATATCCTTGTTTTTTATTTTGTTGTTTTTTATTTTTATTTTACTTTATTACATTAAATTAAGAAAATATGAAAGCTAAGATATCAAATAATTTTGTGAAGGTTATATATGTGTACGTACATACGTACGTACGTTTAAGCCTACTATATCATATACACATATATATATTAATCCACTTTTTTAACCTGTATCCTTTTACTATAGGTATTTTTAGCGAAATCCACAAATAGATAAATTAAAGGCAACAAATAAAGAAGATTGATCCATACAGCTATTATTTGACCCTTATTAATAATACAATTATCTACAAACAAATAACTAAAAGCGATTGTAAATCCTACCAAGAATTGAAGAATTTGCATTGAAGTTATGTATTTTTTACCCGGTGGATTTACACCGACAGAAGTTAGTGCGTAATAGGCGTACATTATTGAGTGGATAAAAGAATTGAAAACTACAAAGATCCAAATTGGAGCAGCTTTGAAGTTTATACCGGACCACATTGTTATCATAGCACCGGCATGGTGATAGGTTTGAAGCAATGAGGAACGGCGAGATTTTAAAAGAATTATTATTGTATCGATTACTTCATAAACTAAAAAATACGAAATATAAATATTTAGAGCCTTTTCAATTATGATTAGAAATGAAAAGGTTTAATAACATACATTTTGAAAGATAAAAGAGGTAACCCCAATAACCGAGAGCATCATTCCAGAAGCTTCCATCACGATCACAATACTAATAAAAGTTAAGTGGAAATGAATATTTGAAAGTAGTAACATGTAAATCAAAAAGATTGAAGAATTATTACTTACCGCGTCAGTTAAATTATGAGTACTATAATTTTTCAACAAAGCAGGAAATACGCTTACGAAAGTAGCCAAGGAAAATACAAACAGTGCTAAATTATGTAAAAACACAAAGGTAGTCATTGGACCACCACTTTTTTTAGCTGTTGATGGTTTTAAACCTTTTTGCATCGCTACTATACGAGAAACATTATTTGAATTTGGATTTAAAAGAGAGACAGAAACAACGTATATAGTGGCGAACAATACAGGAAATCGATAGTCCATAAAAATTGGATAAAGGCTAGAAAAAGGGATTCCGGAAGGAGGAGATGATGTTGGAAGCACATCAGAAATTGGGGGAAGAAAACGGGAGACTGGAGAAAAGAATTCGTTGGCATTCATTTTTTTTTTTATTTAGAGGCAATCCTCCGTATGGACGCGTTTTGTTAATCGAAAAAAAAAAATAATAAAAAAAAAAAAAAATCAAGTGATATAATGAAGCTTCTTTTATTTGAACAAATGTTTTAACGTTAAGGTTTTAGAATGGGTAAATGCATGCGATCAAAACGATACGATTTTATATAACATTAACAATATATATGTACCAAGACGATTAACAATGATCAAAAGTTGGTATCATTCACGATCTAAAATATTAAACAATATCTATGTATATATCGTATAATAATATAATGGATTGTCTGTATATTATAAATAAGTATATCAATAATATTATAAAGTCTTTTTTAAAGTATTACAAAATGCAGATTAGACGATAACGAAAAATTACTTGTACAGTACTAATAAAGTGTTGACATTTCTTGGGGATCTGTAACGATAGACCAACATATTACTAGAACCACATGTAAAAGGTAATTATGGTGAGATTATACTTTCTAAATTTGAAAAATAAGCATTAAGCAGTGTTGGTATAATTTTTAAACATAATACTTTAAAGGTATCAATAGAAAATTTATCACATTCTGTCAAATGCAATGAGTCTTTCATGCCGGATGACTGGTTTTGTCGTTACTTATGATAGGAATTCATTCATTAATATGTTTTATCGAATTTCCCTGCGTATCCCTTAAAAAAAAAATCCTTGTTACAAAAATGACAATTTTTGGGGATAATGTAATATATTTTGGATCAAGTTCGTAGATCTCTTTTTATATAATTCATGTCGGGTAAATACTTGTAAAAGTTGAAATTTCCGAATTCGCGATAGACCCGCCTAAAATCACGAGGCTGGCAATAGATAAACCTAAATTATATAATATGATTATTGTTCATTAATTATAACGTTTTAATTGCATCATCTCTAGTATATATTTAAAATTAAACTATTCGATTTAGTCGCTTATTCTTGTTAATCCTCACTCTTCAATCTCTAACATTGTTGAATTCGTTCCTTGCAAAAATAGTCTTATGAAATACACCATTTTGTAGTATACGTACCATTCTCTAATAAAATATTCGGAAAATCTAATAATTAGTATATATATATATATATATATATTATATATATATATATATATTTATACAAAGTTTTTTTGACTAAATTTGCTGATGATCAGCGTAGTATATTAACACATGACAATAGGCGTAGTTTCTTGTATTGCTGTACCGCAGAATAACATACATATATATTTCATCACTTTCAGAAACCAGTTCCAACCATATTTTGTAGATAAGACGTACGTATGTTATATAAATCGTTCAATTCAAATCAAATTTCACATATATACTTTCGCTATCTTTATCTATCAAATCATCATCTTCAGATGATTTTACTTCTTCCATATTATCGATTTCATTAATATTATCTACTAACTTTGTTTACTTTGTTCTGCGCTATACTAATTTTGTTTCGCATGTGTCATAATAGTTAAATTATTAGAATTAACACATTTTTGATATATGCAATGGGACACGAAAAGCTAACAATAAAATCGTGTGTACTACATACTGTATGTACAGTACGTAGTACTATATTCGATGTTGATGTAAGTTAAGATTTTTATTTTATTAATGCTTATTTTAAGTTTTGTGTTTCATAAAATTTCAAATATCGCTATGCGGTAATTTTTTGTAACATAACAAATTAAAAAAAAAGCACATACATACGTAATAGAATCTTCAGATTTCAAGAAATTCTGTTTTCAGAATGAATTTTCAATTAGCGCACCGCAGATTCCGCATATAGATTCTCATGACGATCCCGAGCGTGAGGAAAAAGAAAGGTTTGCAATCTAGTTGCCGCTTAGTTCGGGACTACTTGTATCTGATTTAACGTTAGTGATATACAGCACATCACAACTTATCTAATTCCATGCCAAAATCCAAGTATTTGGTCATAAATTTTTTTAGTTACCAAATTATATATTAATCCATATCGATAATGCGTCTGCCCCACCATTTCCTATTGTCTAACTTATTGATTAAAAATTGTTATTACAAAATTATTAGTCGAATTTTTTAGATTTTGGGGTATTTCAGCAATGATAAGCAAGCCAAGAATGAGTGTGGGATAAATTCTATTAGCGTACACTGGAAATGTCCCCCTGTTGATGTATGTAATTTTTTAGCTATATGATCGTCAACCTGCATAAAGAGATTTTATATATAATT